TGTCAGTTTCCCTCATGGTTATGGCTAGAAAATAAGGTATAGCAGAATTAGTCTGCGTTGATCTTTAAGCATTTAATTAATAATTTCAAAGTAGGCAAAATTATCCATTTTTGTACAAATTTGCTCCATTATGTCTAACCCTATGCAGGCATCTTACATAAAGTACTCAATTCAGATATAACTAAGTAGTAGCACTGGCAGAGGCCATGACGTTGTGTTCTGCTAGCTTTTGAACTTACCTTGGGGCAAATTGTCCGAATTTCATAGGAACTCATATTAAACTAGCAAAGTTTAAAATCGCTTTTTACTCCAAATGTATCTTAGGTAAAATAAGCACATCAGATCACCTAATTATGTAAAGAATACGGCTCCAAATACCAGATAACATTACAATTAGGAGTCTTTTTTAAGTTTCTAACATCATCTCCTAAAAAGAATTACATTGGTCGACAGTATCATGGTCCTTTTTTCCTAGAACCTCCAACACGCTAACTTCGATAGGCATAGACTTCCGGACCAATTGATAAAAAATATATGCCAGCACTGCCAAAGTAAAAGGAAGTCATAGATCCTGCAAATATTGTTCACTGCATGGTACAGCTCAATCATTTATTTTCTTCCAATATTAGAATTTATCTTTTGGTTCGTTTAATCATTCAGGAAAACTTATTTTGCCCATACATCTGCATTTATCCATCAGGCTCTCTGCTGGTTCTAATGAACCGTCCTTACTGGCCAGGCCAAACCCATGCACTTTGGTCCATCTTCACAATCCCGTGACCAGGCTAGACCAAGTAGCTCCATGTCATCTCGCTTCTTCAGGGGGTCTAAACAAACCTACTGCTCAGGGTTCTTCTGACCATTTGCCATACATCTACGCAATCGACGATGCCTCGGTTCATCTGGACGCACGAGTAGCGGCAAAACATGGGTGTCATAGTCCATTTATGAGGAATGGAATGCAGAATAGCTCGTCGTCTATGCTGAAGGAAACTTCGCAGAGTCATGGGGATGGTGAGATTACTTACAGTTGTGCATCTTAATATTCTTCGACAAAACGACTATAGTACCAATTTTATCTGTCTTCATGTGGGGAAGATAATTGTCCTCCATTTATATTTATTTAGCATACATATTAAGTCATGAGATGCTGAGAATATTAAAGAATCATATTCAAGTGTAGAGGCCTAAAATGTCACTAGACTGTTTTTTTTGAAGGAGACTTTGGCTGTTAGAGATTCGTAAATTGGCCTCACTCAAAACCGAAGGAGCATTGCATTGCAGTTTTGACAGCGCACAGTCCTGCGACCCCTATCCATATATGCCGGTTTTTTATCAGTTCTGTCTTAATAGACATCTTCAGAGCTAGAAAGCATACTCACGAAAAGGTCGCTAAAACATTCAACCAAAAAGATGGCCGGCTGCAACCATACTCACTTCTTATACCCAACGCGGTATCCCATTTTTTGTTGGCTACTTCATGCCTACTTTGCAGGTATAGAGATGAATTAAGTTGAAAGATGAGATGGAGGAAGGCACAGCTATTGCCCTACATAAATAAATTAGAGTTTGATGTGGCAATATTGACGCGTATTTTTTGTGTGGATGAACTTGCATTTGGTGTATACAAAACTCATGTCATCTGAAATATGAGAGTCTTAATTAGATTCCAGATTATTTGAGCTTCCTTTTGCTCAGCGGTTCTCCATGCTCTCTCTTCGCTTCCGCTGTTTTTCACTAAGCTTATAACTTAGCACTTATAAATAAATAATCATTTCCTATTTGATTTCGAAATTTCGAAATACTCCCTAATCGTATGTTGAGATGGGAAGTACTCCATCCTGCCAAACTATGAGTTGACCAATTATATTTAGTGTGGTGCATTAGCTATTCTTTCGGAAAATTTAAATATTTGGGCCCATGAACCTTTGTAGGCCATTTTTGATAAGCTAACCTATTCCGTATGATTTGGCTTGTGCCTTTCATATAAACATTACCATATTAACACAAAACATTATGATGGCCTAGTCTGAATAGAGCTTCCGATAATTTTCAGGAGGAAGGCGCAAATGAGTATAGTGTTAGCTTATCGTTATGCACTCTTGATATTCCCCTTCCTCAGTAGTTAATCATCCTTTCTTCGGAAGCTAACGTAGGAGAAATTTCGAAGCCAGAATACATTTTTCCATTTGATTGCCCTACCCTAAATAGCCATTTATCAGCATTATATTTATTACAATTGAAATATATTTTTATACAACTCTTAATGGTAAATTTTTTTGGAAATAAACGATTCCCACTATTTTCCATTATATATTTAGGTTTTCAAGACTGCAACTAAAGCATTTATATGATGTATATTCACCCTATTTCGTTTATGATGATAAAGTAGTTAAATTTTCCCACAATGATGTGATTAGATCTTAATCTTTCATTAAATTTGGCATTGCCTTGCTTTCCTAAAGGTTTTCTCTACAAGGGCAGATTGCAGTTTCGATCTAAGCGGGGTCGAAAGCAAGGCTATGTGAAATTCGACGTAAACGTATGATTTACTCATATCCTTATAGGAAAATTTAACTACGAGTCCCTTATCAACATTAACAAAATAGGGTAAATATAATTCATATTCCTTATTATGCCTACTTCCATTTCCATTTGGTCTACCTCCCCTAGATGCAAACCCCCTATATCATCGTTGACATACAGGCACAAATTACATATTGTCAGATACCTAT